TTCATAACCTAGTCCTACGTTAAGAATTCGTAACTAATTATTAAAAGATAATAATATACTCGTCTAATTCAAACTCAAAAAGTGATTCTTGCTTAGTGTGAAGTGATTGTTGTTCTACTGAATGCTGAATCTTTTAGCTAGTTCTTGAATATGCAACTGTAAATCCAAATGTATTTTACTGCTTCCAAACCGGAATGAAAAGCTTGTTAATTTAAAGTCACTCATGTGACAAATGTCTAATTTTTAAAATCAAGTGTTGATGAGCTAAGGATGTGTGTGTATGTATGTATGTGTGTGTGTTTTTAAGGAAATGAAGGAAATTTTGTCAGGTGATTTGTTTTATTTGTATAAAGCTTTGTCAATCACATTTTGTTCAGCCTGAAGACAAGGTGAAAGGACTGGGATATTTTAAATTAGAATTTGCATATTTTGATGCTTAGATAATATATGAATATATGTAGGGTTCACAAAAATCATGCAAATTTTAAAGTATCAAATGAAAGTATTGGATCATCTTCATCCATCTTGACAGGAATTTTGAGGTGTTCCTTAGATAAGCTTATTTTTCTCTTCACTACATGCCTGCTGCTGCAAAGGTATGCAAACCATGATCTTTTGTTCCTTTCCCTTTTCTTTTTACAATTAATGTTGTAACTGTTAAATGGCCCATAATTTCTGTGATTTAAGAGAAGGAATGTCAAGCTTTGACGCAGTGTGTGGATAACTGTGGTCTATGAAAGGATTTTGTACCCCCATGCATCGAGCGGCAATCCTGGAAAATTTGTTGTACTATCTATTCTTGATATATGGTTGCCAAAAAAGAGAGACCTTAAAAAAGAGGAGAGCATAAAAATGGGTTTAACTAGCATAAGAAAGAGTGATTTTAATGTTGTAATTGAACTGGTGCGCTTTATAATACCCAAGATCTGATTAGATTTATTTACAGTGCACTAGATATATTCATTAAATGTCATACCAAATCAAATATCACACCCAGATCTCTCATAGATGTGACTAACTTAATGGAGTTAAGTATGTAATAAAAAGCCTTTACTCATCTAGCTCTGGTAAAAGTTATCGACTTTCATTTCTTGATATTGAGAAGAGGGTCAATTGTAACTCACCAGCATTATAACACCACTGTAACACCAATTGTAACAGACAAGCATTCAATGCTCTCTGCAAGAGAATCCTGTCTTTGACTGAGTGAATTCTTAAGAAAAGCTTAAGATCATCTGTGAAAAGCAGGCATTCAACTTCATTTATCACCTCACAAATGTCATTAATAAAAATATTAAACAATAGGGGACCTAAATGAGAGCCTTGTGATACTTTTTATGAAGCTGCAATAGGGTCAAAGATAACCCCACCATATGAGACCAACTGTATGCGATCGGCTAAATATCTGCGGAACCAAATAAACCGTGTTCCATGCAATGGCATATAATAGAGACAATAAATTTTCAGTTAGGTCTGTCGCAAGGGACATTTTCAATTAGGAGTGTCCCACTACTCATTTGTCCCATCCCTCATGCTCTCCCTTTTCTGATTGCAAATAGCTATCGACCAACCTTTGCGAAGTTACCATCATACTGTGGGACTGCTGAGAGACAGTAGGACGGCAGCAATGGAGAAGGACTGCATGGACCAGAAGTGACCCTTCCAAATAAAGCCTACACCACAGTATGGAAATCCATAGGTGTACTAGTGGAGACTAGTATACCTAGACTAGAGCGATATTTACTTACCAGCGCAGTGTAATAGCACACGGTGCCCACATTTTCTTTGCTGCTACTATGGTGCAGAAATGGCCATTTTCTTCCATCTTTTGTTTTAGTGGGTATTTTTTGGCATTATTTTAGTGTTCAATGTTTTTAACTTGTGAAGTTAACTTTAAAAGTGATTCCCAAGTACAGAAGGGTAGAAGCTACTTGATTAAAGCCGTTTGTTCGGCAGGTGAGAGCCGGGACAACAAGTTACGCTGACTTTAATAGGGGGTTCTTTCTAGTAGAGTAAATCAATTTCAGGCAGAAATGTAAATCACTCTGCTCACTGGAGTTGCGACTAACAATATCAAGTTGCGTTGGTGGCCTTTAAGAAACTAGTAGATCTGCAACAGTACATACTTCCTCACATTGTTTCTAGCTTTTGCAATTTTCGAAAATTCGGAAAGTTCAAAAGAAAATTAGACCTGTGCCAATTTTAAGTGTCCTAAACTCTATCCATAAAAAAATAGTAGTTCGGAGAAGATTTTTTTATGTGAACTGCATAATCAGCAAGAAATAATGTAAAACTCACTCATTAAAAAAATACCCAAAAGTGGGACCAGTACCACTTATTTACCATCCTTTGATACATGCCATAATTTTTTAAATTATTGCACCTGTGCAACGCATTTCAAAGTCCTTCTGGGGCATTGAGCGCTTGGAGTATTCTTCTTAGGAATCTTGATAATTTAAAGAAAAAATTTCAGTTGTTTTTTAAAAAAAAATTGTAATAAGATTGCTATATTTCTCACAAATTTATGTGAGAACTAGTCATATTTTTGAAAAATTTTACATGCTCTTATTTCAAGATTAAGGTCTTGAGCAAGGTAACTAGCAGCGAGGTCCTTGAATCCGGAGCAAAGAATTAGCCATTCAAACATTCCTTCCTTCCTTCCTACTTTCCTTCCTTCCTTCCTTCCTCTTGACAAAAATGTTTGTAAAGGCAGAATTTAAGAAGAAAATAGACATGAAATAAAATAATAAGTAATTAAATGTATAAACATAATTCAATACTTGGTTGTTCGATAGAAACCATCAAACAAACATATTTTCATAAAAAGCAACTTTTCTTTGTGAGAGTTCATGCTTTGCACTTGCATTCCCTGCTTCAGCTTGCTTGCATATATCCTTTTGTTGATGTGGAAAGGTAAAAGAGCAGAGTTGGAAATGTAGCCCATGCTCATAGGAGGCCAGGCTTCTCAGGCAGGCAAGTCGCTTGTGTGGGCACAGATTCTCATGCCTGTACAAGACTAACAGGAGTAGAAAAGTCACCACTAGACTCACTTATTTGATGAACTTTTGGAACATTCTATGTACAATATACACAGACACGT